TAGTAAAAATACAGATTTAAAAGTATGTATTTTTACCTGTGAGGTACATTACGATAAACAGTAAGAAAAATAGGCCAGAGTGGCCTATATTCTATATTCATATTTCACATATGTGTTTAAATCTGAGATGAAAGATCTTCCTGAAATTCAGCTAGTGGGAGAGACTCCATATGTGGCATTGGAATATCACATATATTTCTCATCAGAACTATATGTAAGCCTACTGTGACACGCTGGGTTTTTTTCCTCTTCTTTGAAGGGAAATATCTGGGAACAAATTCTGAGAATACCCTTTCTCCTGGAAATAATTAATGCTGTCCCTTTCATCATCACGGTAAGCTTATTTGAATTAATACATTTGCACATTGCACTTTTATAGCTGCATAGATACTCTTTTTATTGAAGTAAATTTGAATCTTATGTGGATGACAAATTTGTGCTTGTGGAAACAGAAATTCGTCAACAACAAGAAGGTAGTTTGCTACTTGAATGAAGATCAATAATACAGATCACTTTCCCCTTCCTCCCTGATAGGGGACAAACAAAACCAAAACTGCCTAACTCAAGCTACAGCACAATCAATAAAATAAACCATCTAGATAGAAAAATCTAAGAATCACTGTTGTCTGCACTGTAAACTGACTGTCCTTATTTTATCAAATTATCTTGCATACAGTTCATCACAAAGGAAGAAAAAATATTCTTTAAAGCCATATCTCACACTAGAAATACATTAATAATAAGTATTTTTCCCACGTGTTTCATTGCTGCTTGAATAGAAAAGCTCTATTCTTGGAGAAAAAACTTTTAATGAATTTGTTAATTTTTCTTTCAGATTTTCTGGCCAGTCCTAAGAAACCTGTTTATTCCTGTATTTTTAAATTGTTGGCTGGCAAAGCATGCTTTAGAGAATATGATTGTAAGTATGACAAAGGAAATAGCTATTTTAGAGTTTCTATCTTAGTATATTGTCCTTAGTGGGATTTTGGCAGTACAGTCCACTGTTCAACTTTAATAGGAAGATAACCAGATCTGTATTTAGATTATACAAATGGTCAAGCACTGCTAAACTGCTTTCTGCATCAAAATTAGAAAATATTAAGACATCAAGTGAAATCTCAATTAGTATAAATTGGTTTTGTGCCAATAGGGGAAAGTTGGAATGGCTAGTTCTTTTGCAACTCTTCCACTCCTGAACAATTGCAGGGAACTCAACTGCTATTCCTTAATTGGTTGTTGCAGCCTGTAATTTGTAAGCTAGACACGAGCAGACAGACCTTAAGGCAGCTTGCAACAGTATCAGAATTGTGCCAGTATGAACAAAGAACCAGTTAAATAACCACAGAATCACAGCTGGCTCTTTTGAACCCTTTTATATGATCAGCAAATTCTAAGTGCATTTGAATGACTGCATTTTATCAGGGCACTATATAATTCCTCTATAGAATCAGCTCATGCCTTATTAATTAAAACCCCCAAATAACACCTATTTTCTATTAATATAGAATGATCTTCACAGAGCCATCCAACGCACACAGTCTGCAATGTTTAACCAAGTCCTCATTTTAATATCTACCTTACTATGTCTTATCTTCACTTGGTAAGTGGCCCAAACCCCTTTGTTTTTATTACATATATTGCCTTTTCTTCCTTTATGACATGGTGATAAAACAGGCATTATGGAAATCAGTCATGGAAATAAAAAGAGTAATATGCTTGCAGTGAAAGTGTTAACTAGCACTTAGTACTCCTGGGGTCCTGATACACTGGGTTTGGAAACAGAAAGTGCATGAATGGGAAAGGGAAAGACGTAACTCTAAGGAAGGAAACACAGATGATGCAAAAACACAGGAGAAAGGAGTGGGGGAGAATTTACACCGGTACCAAGAGTGTAATCTCACCAGAAAAGTCACTCAAATTTGAGGAGTAGTAACAGAAGTACCCATACTAAGGTCACCTTCCTCTGACTGGTGGGACAGAGAGAGAAAAACTTGCAAGATCTCAGCCTTACCACTCTGGTGACTAAGTCAAGTTCCCATAAGAAGTACAGGGGAGAGCTCTTAATAATCTAGATTACAGAAAGTGTAGATTTTATTAATCTAGATTACAGAAAATACTGGATGGTAGGTTCAAACAACCAAAATGTGTTACTCTGAAGAACTTTTTGCTACAAGACCTTGAAAACTTAAATTTATGGGAGTTTGGGAAGCATGGAGAAAAATCTATTGAGGATATTAAATATAAACATACTTGGTTAATGAAATTCATGAGCTGCAGATTATTGGAGGCTAGGGAAAAGATCCACAGGAAACACCACGTGATTGCCCCATTTTTATACTATGCCTTAGGGATCTGCTGTTGACTAGGGCTGGAGACAGATAAAGTAGACATTATGAAATTTTGGTCTCACCCAGTATAGTCATGCTGATGTTTGTGTAAGTGGATAGTGGTTATAATGTAGCTTGGTATCTTACTTAACATACAGAATTTTCTCAGTAGTAGTGCCCGAGAAGTGAGTATCGTATATGGAGGAACAAAAAAAAAAAGTAGAGAAAGAATGTGTATGTTACAAGCCGGTGTACAAGGGGCAGTGAACAAAGAAGATGATCCTGTGTGGAAAGGCTAAATCACCTGTATTTATTTTGCCAGACGGGGTGCCTTTGGGTCAGCACACTGATAAAGTTTGGTCTGGCATTTTGGAGACAGTGATTTGATTTTCTCTTACTTTATTTCTCTGGCTTGTTTTTCTAATAGCCACTGTTATATGCTGCCTAATCCTTTTGGTAATAGCAGTGTAAAATAACACATGGCCTTTTCCCATCTCGTCCTTCTCTGTCCTTTATTGAAGAAGAGGAGTTTGTTCTAGCTAGTGGCTAAATGCAGGGTCCAGTTTTACCCTTTTGCCTTATGGCCGCACAACTGCATAATGGCAAATGCTGCCAGTTCTAAACAGAAACAAATTCTTGTGAGATTAAATTTCCTATTGAATATTATGGTCCTTTAAGAGGAAATTTTACACAAATAAGGACTGCAATACTTGAATCAGAATGCATGAAATTCTATCACTGTCGCACTTGGACATTTTTAATTGGTTCTAATTTTGCTTTTTAATTTTTTACTATACAAATGCTCTTGAGTAAATATGCCTTCACCTTTTTTAATAACCTACTTCAATATTTTACTGAACTGCTGAACAAAATACATATCCAGTTCTCACTGAAGTGCGCTAGTAACAAGAATGTTTCCTACGAACTCACTGTGATGATCCCTGGTTGAATAAGGTACAGAAGCTGCAGCTAAACAGCACATCATGCTCAACACCAGGCGTGTTGATAACTGACAGTAAAACATGCAGAAAATGGCAAACTCACTTACAGTAATTACGTCTGGTCTCAACAGCCGCAAATACGAGCTCATTATAGATCATTATATACTGACCTAATACTGACCCTGCTAGAGTGCAAAATAAGCTAAATAGGATGGAAACACCCAGTAATGCAATAACTAAGGATATGAAGCACTTTTGGAATGACTAAGAATAGTTGTTCAAGCATTTGCAGCTTGCCTAAGACTGAAGTTCTGTTCAGGCAATTGTTACTATTGCTTACATGAACACACATAATGGCATTTTTACACTTTTTTACCCATCTATGTATGATTTTATATTACAGAGTGTATTTTTAAAATATCTAAAAAATTCTCTATTAACAGTCAAAATCAATTAGCTTCATGTCTTTGATTATGTTACATTTCTGGTGAATTTGAGAAAGCGTTTCATTTTAAGCAACATCATTTAGAGCTTAGATGAGTTTCTTCATGCTGAAAGAGGAGCAAAGCCCATTTCTGGAATCTGTCCACTTAAGGATGGCTTCCACCAGGCTGATCTTTCACATTTTCTGCAACAGCAAGCAGTAACCAAGTGCATTCCTCCCAAAGACATATGGGAGCCAGCACTAGACTTATCCATACATGTAATGGAGCACAACACACAAAAAAGTTTGAGCTAGCACCGGTCTGTTTTCATAACCATGTTTTGGTTACATTTAGAGATATTGCCTTGGTCCATGAAATACCATAGCTTCAGCAATGCAAACTTAATAAGCTTCAATTGGTAGCTTGAATACAGTGTTTACAGTGTCAGAGCACTTTCTCCTTAGAATATATTCAGTACCATGGGGACATGCTTATGGTGTGCTTTTGATGTCACAGATAACTGCTCTCACTGTGCCTCCCTGCCAACCTTTAAGGTTAATGAGATAATGACTGTCAGACACTGTATGGATTAAATTGTAACACCACAGCCTTTCTTAGTTCCTGGTTGACAGGCTTGCTTTTACAGTCTGATTCAATAGGAGCATTGACTTCTTAGCACTTCTGAAGTCAATATAAGTTTACAACACAGGGTTCTGTTCAAAACCATGCTTTTTTATCAGATACATTTGTTACCATTTGACTGATTGTCTTTCTCAACAGAAATTTAAAGATCAATTTGTGGGATCTATATTCTGTACAACAGTTGCAAGAAAATGGCATGTTTATAGAAAACGTTTTAAAAAATTATAAATGCATAAAAGGATTCTCATCAACTTTGCTCCTGTATGCATATGAGTATTTTCAAAATAGCTTCTACCACAGCTAGTAGAAAAGCCACAGAAAATGAACTAAATTCTGCTTCATGCATCATCAGCAAACCCATCAGTTACATCTCCACAATAGAATCTTATAAGTGGTGGTTACATGTGTAGGCACGTTCCAATTTATGTCTTATAACTGAGGTGTGAGCTTGCAGATGAAAAGTTAAAAACCTTAAATAATCTAATGTTTACAGCTAATTGAGTAATGTCAGAATTTTTAGATACATTATTCGAGCTGACCTTTGCACTCAGAATATAGTGGGAAAAGGTTCCTGTATTTTTGTATACAGTCGGCAGTTTTCAATGATTATTACAGAACAAACAGTAATCACATAACAATTTTTTTTCTCTGTTCCACTCTGATTTTTGATGATAATTGTTTATGGATCTGGGGGTAAAACTCATTTGCAGATCAATACATTCATAAGACTAACTCCCTGTGTCTGTAGCTTCCAGATTACAAACAAGGATTTTTTTCTCTTCTGATTTCAAAGAGAGATTATGCTATCCAATAATTTTTCTTTCTTTAAATACCTCAGTGGCCTCCTAACCAGAGCAGTTAGTTATACATATACTAAAAAATGTGTACTCCCATATGACACTGTTCAGAAGTTACTATTGATAGAGTTCTAGTGAAAGTTACAGACCTAGTCAAAGAAGTAGTATGTTGTGTCATTTAGCTAATGGATGTTTGCAGTTTTTCAAATGAATACTAATTATTTCTGTGAACTGTACAAGAAGACAAATAACAGTGAATGACTATTTCAGGCATTTTTTTTGGTGACACAGTGAATCATCTATTAAGACTTATTTTGCTTTTAAAATCAGTGTTAGTAATATATCACCAGTGTAGAATGATTAGCTTGTGAAAAAGGTGGCTACAAACTGTTTGAGATGGGCATTTATTTTTTTTTCATACTGAAGACTAAGAAGCCTGCACAAACTTTGCTTACGTCTTCATTGAAAGCTCACTGAGATCAACCTTAACAGTTTTTACACTTCAGTGCTTTCAACATCAGAAAATTAGGATGCTTCCACACACTGACTTACAGAATAAACATAGTATGCCAATACCATAGCCTCAATTACACAGTCAAAATTCTCATCTGGAGGAAAAAGTAGGAATAAGTTGCTTGTAAGGATGAAAACAAATCCAGACAATGATCTAGCCCAAACAAGACAAATCAAGACCTTCAGATTTGGAACACTATGTTACAGACAAAAATCAATCAAACGGAAGAGGATTAATCCCATGTAATGTTAAAGAAAATAAGCCATCTCAGTGTTCCAGTTCCCTTTATTATCAATAAGTAGAGACAGACAACTCAGAGGGCAATGCAGATCCAAAGGGAACTGAATAACCACATGGAAGTCTGTGCTTCTCTGCCCTTCTATGTTGATTATCTCAGGAGCCTACAATGGCAGTTCTCCAAGAAAGATGCCTAACATTAAGTGGGATGAACTTGAAGAATGTTGGTGGATTATGTAATGTAGAATAAAATGTGGTATTTTGGGTCTACAGTTCTTGGTATGATGTTACATTTGTTGTACAGCACTCTCAGTGCTCTCAGGCGCAATCTCGGTTTATGATTTAGAGAGATTTTCTGCATTCAGAATAGCACAAAATTAAACTGTAATTCTGTCATTTAGTTTGATCAAATCCAATGATCCTAAAGTGGCATGAATTCTCAGGATCTAATGGACTAAACAGGAGGCGCAGAATTTAAATCCTAGAATATTATAGAACATTAATTGAAAGTTCTAATAAATGTAAAAAACACAAAATAAATTATTCAACCATTACAAGAATCACATGAAGTATTAAAATAATAGCAGTTGTGCTTTTCTTTCTTTGAAATAAAGCAGATCCGTCAGGAACTTGCTTGTTTCAAACAAAAGATCTCTATTTTCTGTTTTGAAATATTCCTATGCAGTGCTCTTCAAACATAAACAAATAGATCTAAAA